AGACGTATCTCGGACAGAGGAATGCCGCGAGCTCTGCGGTTTATTAACCGATAGGTTAAAACCAGCAGGCTTCTGCAGCGAGCCCTGCTGCCTACTAATCAACAGATTGGTGGCAGCTCTTCTTCCCCTTGAGGAACCCTGGAAATAGCCTCTTTCAACAGGAGTTCCCGCAGCTCTGTCTGGAGCGGAAGACACTGTTCTTGGGATGACAGGAGTGTTTCCTGTATCCCATTGAACTGTGGGGGGGGGGGAGGCGAACTGCAGGGTGTACCCTCTGCTGATCAGCCTGCTCATCCATCTGTCCATCAGACACACGCGCTGCCACTCTGAGAAATTCTCTGAGAGCGGGCGCACATGGTCGAGATGTGTTGTGGTCGTCTTGGCAACGAGCCACGTCAGAGCCCTTGTGGGCCTGACGCGAAAGGGCTGTGAGGGAGCCTCCACACGTTGCGTTTCACTCTGGCTCTCATCATGAGGCGTGTACACGCTCAGAGGATGAATGGAGACAGTGTTAACCACATGAGGCGTTATAACGGCGCTCATGGGTTTATTATGACCGTGTGTAGGAGACGTATCTCGGACAGAGGAATGCCGCGAACTCTGCGGTTTATTAACCGATAGGTTAAAACCAGCAGGTTTCTGCAGCGAGCCCTGCTGCCTACTAATCAACAGATTGGTGGCAGCTGGCTTAGTTGGCGAACTCTGCAGTTTATTAATCGATAGATTAAAAAGTGCAGGTTTTTGCAACGAACCCTGCTGGCTACTAACCGACAGGTTATAGACAGTTGGTTTACACAGAGTGGAGGATATGTGAGAAACACTTGATGATACTGATGACTCAGACAAAAAGTTGAAAAATGAACCCCTCCGTCTCTGGGGTGGCGGGGGAGCGGAGACGCGGGGCGAAGCCCCTGCCGCCGCCGACGGGCGCTGACGCCGCGGTTGCGGTTGGTATCTCTCCGCCTGCCGCCGTGGCCGGGTTGGGCGCTGCGGCTGCTGCGGCCGCTGCGGCTGCTGCGGGTGTTGGTGCCGTCCAGCAGGCTGGAGCCAGCTGACGTGCTGGCGGATGTCGTCCGCCTGTTCCGCAGCCGCCTTCATGGATTCCACCATGGCGTGGAACTGGGGTCCGAACAGCCCGTCCGGGCTGATTGGAGCATCCAGCAGCACTTTTTCTGGCCGTTTCCGTAACGGACGCCTGCTGCAGCCAGAGGTGGCGCTGGATTTGCGTCACCCACGCGGCGATTCTGGCCTGGGAGACAGCAACAGACGCACACAGTGTGAGCGCCGTGCTGGCAGCCTTGGCGATCTCTTCCGCTTCGTCAGCGGCCAAGGTGGTGGACCGCTCCACCAGCGTCACCACCGAATTGGACAGCAGCGCGATGTTGTTTGCCGCCGTCGACGCCTGAAAGGCACACTGGTGCACCCGGTCGGCCTGGCGGGTAACATACTGGTCCCTGGGGGAGGCCAACGTAGGGCGCCGTCCGGCGATCATGTTGGTCTGCCTTACCCCAAAAAACGCCGTCAGGCCCGGCAACACATCTGTAAAACCCTCCACCTTGGTGAGGGGAACAAACGTGGACACCGGGGCCTTGAGAGTCCTCGGGTTCGCCGCCGCCCCCTCCTGGTACCTCCTGATGGCGGGAAAGCGTGGCCAGATCGGGTCACTCCTGACCGTCTGCACCTGCGAAAAAACTCCGGCCATGTCGTCCGGAGCACTCCTCTCCTGAGCTGGGGGAACGGGGAGACCTCTGCAGGCGGCCGCCTTGCAGATGATCCCCGGCAGTTCCAGCAGGATGCCACCTATCGCCGGCAGCGCCGTGGTGACGGAGAAGGGAACCGCGTGCTCGGCCAAGTCGACACCCTGCTCCGACTCTGTCTCCCCCGTCCGGGGGAGAGGAGAGAGGGGAGAACCATACGGTGAACCGTGGAGGGAGATGGGGTAGGAGTCGTCCGACTCCTGCCCGGCACTTTGCTCCAGGGGCACGTTTCGGCTCCAGGAGCACGAATCGTCCTCCTCGGTCGCAGCAGCGAGAGCGTCCGCTCTACGCTTCCTGTCGGCCGAGGGGAGACAGGCACAGTGCTGGCATGCGATCTGCTGGCTGAGAGCCGCGTACGCGTGCTCTGGCCCCAGACAGAATTCGCATTCAGTGTGCCGATCATAACTAAAAATATATCCGGTTCCACATGAGGGACAATCTCTTACACAATCGTTGCTCATGGTTTCTCGGATATACGTCTCAGTGCTTCAGTAACGGGGTGCTGAAGAAAAAGAGGGAGCAGGTTGTCGGGTCCCCTTCCTATTTATACCGGAAGGGAGCCCGAGGGTGGGGCCCACCTTGCGGGCGGGCGTGGACTACAAGTGTTTTCAGTGCTGCGCGGGTGCGCAGGGGGATTACCCAATAGCGATAGCCTTAGAGGGCGAAGCCATATACAAAATAGAACTGCCTCACCTCAGAATGCGTCACCCCACAGAAACTGGCTGGAAAGCGGGCCCTAAGCGCATGCCTGTTCCCATCTCACTGTAGGTCACCAATGTAATGTATGTAGATCCCTTTATTACATTTATCCTCGCCATCCATAGTATCTAAATAACTTATTTCACGTATATATGATATTTAGGCTCGCTGGTCTCAACGGCAATGAAAATGCACCAGGGGAGGCAGCCATAACCTCTGCCGCACTGAAGGGGGCGCACGTGAACCCACAGGTTCTTGTTGCTACTGTAATTCTACACAGAGACGGTAGACGTAACAACAAACTAGACTTTTGAAACTACAGGAAGATAAGGAGGACTTTTACAAAAAAGTAATATAGATTGTTGTCCAGAAGGATAGCATGGACTTCATCTTCAAGTCAAGGTAAGACCAGATTTGTAATGAAAATGGGATCTTACTAAGAAAGAACAATCCAATATTTAGATTTTGGGCATCCTTTTGTTGAACGGTCTGTTTAAAATGAATCGAAGCATCAGACTAAAAAAGCTTTTGAAAATAACCGAATATTTCGATTAAGGTCAAATATAATATTTGTAAATCTGACTCAGTGCCTCACCAGCCATGAACCTCACCGCACGTCACTGCTTCCTATGGTATGTTGTTGCTTGAAGTGAGTATATCTAGACTTTCCTTGTTGTTGGGAGTTTGATTCTTTATGGTTTTTGCACTTATTGGAAGTCGCTTTGGACAAAAGCGTCAGCTAAATGATATGAAATGTATGTACATATTCATTTTGAGTTAATTATTCTAATGTTACTTTGCTATTTTTGTTGAACGATGTATGCATACAGGTTTCTAAAGGTGGAGTAAAGGATGCATTACTGTGTGTGTGTGTGTGTGTGTGTGTGTGTGTGTGTGTGTGTGTGTGTGTGTGTGTGTGTGTGTGTGTGTGTGTGTGTGTGTGTGTGTGTGTGTGTGTGTGTGTGTGTGTGTGTGTGTGTGTGTGTGTGTGTGTGTGCGTGTGTGTGCGTGTGTGTCTGGATTTCAGCCCCACTGTGTTTAATCTGTTACAACCCGTTCTGTAATAAATAAAAAGCAGTTTTTGTTTCCATTATTTTGAGATTTCTTTTCTTTTCTGTGGAGGTACTATTGACCACATCCCATAATATATGAAGCTTTTCTAGTCATTAATCCTGTTATATACTTTTATTTGTCAATGTAAGACTTCATTCACACATCTAAACATTCACTACTTTTGTAATTCAAACCTTTCATAAAATTCTGAAATACTCAATATTTTCTCAGAACATTTCCATTGAGATGAATGGACGGAATGTTCGAATTTGACTCGATTTCACCGTTTTTGATCCATCTTCAGCTGTTCTTTATTCATTCATACATTCAAGTAGAAACTCCATTCAGGCTTCAAAACGTTCCACATATTTCATACCTTCTGACTTTTAAACAATATTCAAATCCCATTAAAGCTTCTCAAAATATTCAGCCTGGTTTGACTCTTAGTAAAAAGGCCACATTTCAGATTTTAACATTGGTGTGTATTGCGCTGAATGTTCAGAGTGGAGCTGTTGGAAAATAGCCTCACAAATGTATTTTTAATTTGCTCTAACTTCCACATTTGTTACTCTTTGTACTTCATTTTACTGAAGAACGTATAAAAAAGTGTCCTCTTTCCAACAATGTGTCTGTGGAATCAAAGGGACTTACACATGCAGAGCTGTGAGCCTCGCAGTAACAGGAGTACCAACCAACGGCCCCATTGACTCCTATATTCATTAATAGCAGAGATTTCAGAAATGAACTCAACTTTGATCTTCTGATTGATACTCCACTCAAACCTTTACATGTTTCACTTCTTTCATACATTAGGAGTTACAGCTTTAAGTGAGATACTAACAGACAGATAGAGACTAAGGTGCAGATTGAACTGGAAACACGTGTTTGTTGAGGCAGTGTGAGTTTCACAGTAGAGACAGGTATTATTACAAAGTGTTCAATCACTGTCTCCACTGCAGGATGTGAAATGAGGACACCTGGTGGACAGGTGCAGAACGACAACAACAGAGAAGCATCAGCAGAAACATCGACAGATCTGAAATAAATGATAAATAAATCCTTCATAAATGTAATGTGATGTTTAAAATGTTTTTTACTTGTATATCCAGTGAGAATGTAAGTTCATTTTGAGGAATCCTGTCATGTTTTTTCCTGATTAAATAAAATAAATGTACATATGTTGTAGCTGCTGCTCTCATTGATTCTGCATGGTCTGCTGGATTACTAAAAACAAACCATTACAGGCTGTGTGTGAAAGACCAGAGACTTCACAGCATGTTCTGAAATGGAAGTTGCCTTGGTATTTGTGTTGTGGTTGTTGACGGCAGTGTGTGACCCCCGTGGTAAATGATTGCCCCCCCCATTCGATTTGTTCTCGAGCCTGATGTAGTGGAGTAAAAGTATAAAATAGCATAATGTGAAAATACTCAAAGTACAAGTACCTACATTTCTTACTTAAGTACAGTACTTGAGTATATGTTCTAAGTTACATTACACCACTCTGTACATTCAAAAGATTTATTTTTAACTGTACAAAACAACATGGCTTTCAAACATCTCACAATAAACAAATAGGCATTCAGAATGAAAACAACATCAGGTAGGTCTGCCTGCAGACGTCCAATAAAGCTTATTAAAAACAACATTTCTTTGTCTCATTCTTCTACAACTTCACATATTTACTATGCAAAACATGTCACAGTGTCTAACTTCAATACAAAGTGCAAGAAAACAGAACAAATATTTCATCAGGAGTGAAGCAACGTAACGGAGACCGAGAGCAACTCCGATAGGAAAGATTACAGTAAATGATAAATACTGTATAACGTAACAAATGCTGTTTATAGATTCTAGACCTCACAGCTACAGCGTTATACAAACACACATATGTAGGCTAAGGCTGAACAATCCAACGAAACAGCAATATGGACTTATCCAAATCAAAGGAGGTGCAGTATTTGTTAAATATGTGTCAGAATGCAGCAGAGATTCCAGCCTATAAATAAATCACATTAGAAAGATTTTGGTTGGTACAGATTCTCTCAGAAATCACATTTGGTCATTTTAGTTTATCTCTCAACGAAAGAAAGATAAGATGTACAGTATACTTTAAGTAAAGTGTCAGAGCGCTGGAGATCTAAAGAGTAAGTATTGTGCAGGAGTGTGCACATTTCTTTAGATGAGCATTAATGTAACAGATAGTGTCAAACTGTTTCTATTGGTCCACCTGCTGAACTGTTGCCTGTCTCTGAGTCTGAACCTTCTTCACTGGCTGGTTGTCGTCTGAAGTTAAGAAGCACACAGCCAATCAGAGCAAGTAGAACAGAAACCAGTGCTAACGCTGAGTAGAGGCCAATCCTTCCCCTTCTTTCTGTGTTTGGAGTCTCAGGTTTGTTCCAATGTGTCGCTGCTGGAAAAACACCAAACAAAACTGTTTCAAAAACATTTCCCTGAAAAAGAAAACTAAACATCTACAACATTTCTCAGGTTCTCACCCTGAGAGTTTAACATTATAACAAAGAGGAATGGGGGTTACTCACCAGTGACGTTGAGCCAGCATCTCCTAGAGTTACTCCCATCAGGTGTGACGAGTATGTCACAAACATAAAACCCAGAGTCATTGGTCCTGAGTCTGGAGACATGAAGTGTGAGGCGTCCTTCTGTGAGGACGTCTTTGTCCCACTGGACTCGTCCTGCAAACTCTGGATCCTGAGACTCTGGGGATTCAACACCTTGATGGAGATGAAACAGGACGTAGGTTCTGATATATGTATAAAGCTGACAGATGGTAGAAATGGATCTGAGAGAAGTGTCTGTTCTGGAGCTGAAGGTCCACTCCAGGGTGATGTTCTGGTTCTCCTCTGCCTGATAGGAAGTCTGAGTCACATTCACTACAAATGTTCCTGTGGAGGAGACACAGAGGGACTCTTTAAACTGCAGCTATGTTACTGTGGAGGAGACACAGAGTGACTCTTTAAACTGCAGCTACGTTCCTGTGGAGGAGACACAGAGGTACTCTTTAAACTGCAGCTATGTTACTGTGGAGGAGACACAGAGGGACTCTTTAAACTGCAGCTACGTTCCTGTGGAGGAGACACAGAGGGACTCTTTAAACTGCAGCTATGTTACTGTGGAGGAGACACAGAGGGACTCTTTAAACTGCAGCTATGTTCCTATGGAGGAGACACAGAGGGACTCTTTAAACTGCAGCTATGTTCCTATGGAGGAGACACAGAGGTACTCTTTAAACTGCAGCTATGTTCCTGTGAAGCTTTACTGAAGCTCTCATCAGGACTAACGCTTCATTCAGTAACATTGTGCTCTTATTTATAGCAAAGCTGCAGGCTGGGAAACAAAAGGTACAGAAGAATATTAGTTTCATGCTTTGTTACATTATTTAATAAACATTTACCTTTCTTCACAAAATGCTAAATACAATAAAAGTGTTACTCCTCTGTGTTTGTTCTCTTGTATGAATGCCTAGCACTAAACCTCTTCTGACAAAAGGGCTCAAAGATGCTGCTCTGTGAAGAAAAGAGAAACTAAAAGTGTGTTTTCTTTAGTCTTAGGGGGAAATAAAGGAGTAAACTAACCAGAGACACAGGGGGTGAGGAAGAGGAGCAGCAGGATGAGGAAGATCATCTTTTCCTGGTGAGGACACACACCATCAGGTATTAAAGAGCAACCAGAGGACAGTAATCGTCTGACACTAGGTGGCGCCAGATATTAACATTGTATTATATTTCCTTTGAACTGAACCAGGACCCACACCACTGTCGATTACCCCAACAACAAAATGACGTGATGTTGTGCGTCCGCTGCGTCGGCCGACATGTTTTTTTTCAAGCCTCTTTACCCCTAGATTCCACCGGGTCCGTCTGCGCCGCGTTACCCCTAGATTCCACCGGGTCCGTCTGCGCCGCGTTACAGCTGCGCCGCGGTTTTGGTCCGGCCTCCTCCGGCGTCATACCCTACCAGGCGCGTTTAAGAAGCATTTCAGAAGCGGAGCGTCTTGCCTGCCGGCTCGCAGTTTTTGTTGATTTGGGCATATTTCCTGGACAGGCTACTTTGTACAGACAAAGTTAATAATAACTGTAATATTCCAGTTATAAACGACATGAATCAAAGATGTATTGCTGTATTTTAGTGGTAAATAAATGCATTCATCATCATAATTATTCTATATATATAATTTACACAGTGCCTGTTAACCGGAGGAGAACGCTGGCATTTCTCCTCCTACTTGAAAGACTACGGAGGGATAGGGTCTGCAAAATTAGTTTGTGTGTGTGTATATATCTATATATATATGCTATATATGCTCTGAAAGTTCCACTTCCTGCCTGCTCGACCTTACGTTACGGCTGCGCCGCGACAAAAATAGGATTCGATCCTAATTTTAGAAAAGCCCTGCGCCGAGCCGCTTCTGGGACGCTTCTGGGACGCGTCTGAGCCGTAACGCGCCGCGTGTGGTGGAATAGCACCCATTGACTAGAGTGGCCGCGGATACCTTGAGCACCGCGGCGCAGCCGTAACGCGTCCGTAACGCGCCCGTAACGCGCCCGTAACGCGCCCGTAATGCGCCGCAGACGGACCCGGTGGAATCTAGGGGTTACGGCTGCGCCGCGGTTTTGGTCCGGCCTCCTCCGGCGTCATACCCTACCAGGCGCGTTTCAGAAGCATTTCAGAAGCGGAGCGTCTTGCCTGCCGGCTCGCAGTTTTTGTTGATTTGGGCATATTTCCTGGACAGGCTACTTTGTACAGACAAAGTTAATAATAACTGTAATATTCCAGTTATAAACGACATGAATCAAAGATGTGTTGCTGTATTTTAGTGGTAAATAAATGCATTCATCATCATAATTATTCTATATATATAATTTACACAGTGCCTGTTAACCGGAGGAGAACGCTGGCATTTCTCCTCCTACTTGAAAGACTACGGAGGGATAGGGTCTGCAAAATTAGTTTGTGTGTGTGTATATATCTATATATATATATGCTATATATGCTCTGAAAGTTCCACTTCCTGCCTGCCCGACCTTACGTTACGGCTGCGCCGCGACAAAAATAGGATTCGATCCTAATTTTAGAAGAGCCCTGCGCCGAGCCGCTTCTGGGACGCTTCTGGGACGCGTCTGAGCCGTAACGCGCCGCGTGTGGTGGAATAGCACCCATTGACTAGAGTGGCCGCGCCGCAGACGGACCCGGTGGAATCTAGGGGTTAGCGGCTCCGTAGAACCAGAATCAGAATGGGTTTTATTACAAAGTAGGTTTACACATACGACGAGTGTGCTTTGGTTTATGTGGTGCATACAGATCCACAGAAAGAATAATACATAGTACACTAAATACAATAAAAATAGGAGTGTTGTGGGAGACGTGACTGACAGAAACATTTAAAAATAAAGTATATTTTATATACACATTAACAATAGAAGCATATATTTGATACAATATAAAAAATACACAACGTCGAAATATACAGATTTTTTTAGAAAACACTATAATTAACAAACCCACTACTGAAAACAGCATGTAAACATTATGAAGTGTGCAAAGTAGCTGCAGTTTTAAATACAAACTGAAGTGAGCGCACATTAGTGATGGGAATTCCGGCTCTTGGTGAGCCGGATCATTTGGCTCGGCTCACCAAGAAGAGCCGGCTCTTTCGGCTCCCAAACGGCTCTTCAGTTTACCACATATTATACCTTTTATAATTCAATCAAATGTAGCCCTGTTTTGACTAAAGATTTATATGTGTACACATATCACTTACATTATTCAATACATCCTTTGTACTGAAGTATTCAAAAGTAAAAATGACATGTTTAATATCAATGATTTGCTGTGGCCAATTGTTTTCATTGCATTTACAGACCCTTGTATCTCTCTGATACCACCCAATGAATGCACAGACTTGCTTGTAGAACCACGCTACACAAAGCAGATAGCAACACCTATAAAAACTTAAGCATAGACATTTAAAAAAAGGGGCTACTGTATCGACATTTTAAAATTATATTTAAAGAAAAGGCCCTGACAAAACAGCAGGGCTCTATTTCAGTATTAACTATAGAAAAAAAGACAGCAACAGCTGACATCAAATCTTTGCTGAGCCCAAGGATAATCATAAATAAATAACATAGTGAAAATAAATATATTGCAATGCTCAGTACAGCAGCATCCAACCGTCTCTAATCCTTGGATATTACATGTCACTGCATGTATGCACGGAGCAGCTGTAGCGCGGAGATCATCATATCATTCTTTCTTGTATTACTTAAAGCTCCCATGTCATGCTTTTCTGGTTATTACCCGTCCCCTTGTGTGTTATGAAGGTTTTTATGCATGTAAACGGTCTGCAGAGTCAAAACCCTCAAAGTACACCCTGTAGCGAGTAAAACTCTAACACAGAAAATACCTCCCCAAAACGCCTCGTTGGAGATACGTCACTGCCCATTTGAGTCTTCCATTTAGTTCCGGGTACGGCCTGATGTCATGCAGTACCCGGAACGAAATGGACCAATCCCGAAGAGCTATGGTCACACCCAGCGGCGCTGGCCGCACCCTCTGCCAGCCTAACATTTACTGTTGGAAGCTCTGGTTCAGTTCACAATCATCCAGTCATGCAACTGCCAAGGACCTGTTTCCTGAAATGTGAGGAGAAATCTGAGCTGTTTGTCCTACCGACGGAAGAACCACGACGAAGTCAGTGGTTGAACACTGTTCCTTCAGAGGTTCGAAGAACCGGCATTTCACAGACGAAAGCTTCCAAAACATTGCCCAGTTTGAGGCCGGATATGCACAGCTTGTTTGGACCATTTGGAGCAGGGGAAGATCCGGGTACACAACCTGTAAGTTTGCATTGTTATTTGTGTATTTATCAAACAAGACCGTTTAAATATGTAAACTGTGTTGGACTGCTAAGCCATTGACACAGTGCTAACTGTGCTAACTAAGTTGCTAGCGTTTCCATATATCAACTCTAATATCAGCAGATGGCCTTGCATACATGTATCTCATAGCAGGAGAATGTCTGCATTCACACACAAAATACCTATTGACAGTATACTCCGGGTGATTTGCCGTGCGGTCAGTCGCGAAACGTAATTACATTGTAGCTGGCGTAGCGTGTATGCTACCGATCTAACCCACGGAGCTAGAGCTAGGTTTGGTCGGAAAAACATTTTTGTGATGCTACGTTGCTAGCGTTTAAATATATCAACTACAATGTCAGCAGATGGCCTTACATGTTTGTCATGGCAGGAGAATGTCTGCAGTCACACACACGGAATACTCATACAGTATACTCCGGGTGATTTACCGTACATTGTGACAGTACATATACTGCATGTATAGCTAACGAGGCTAGCTGTATGCTAGCGCAAAACAATGTATTCATGCAAGTTACATTGTATGACCGAACGTAGCAGAATACCCGTATACGATTGCAATTATAAACACGTTATTGCTAGCCTAATATGAACCACTAGATTTTGTTCATAGTAGTTTTATTACACTGCATTATAGTTGCCTTTCCTCCAAGCTAACATTCATATCGTGTTAGCTACCAAGGTAAACAAAGCTAGGTTAGCATATTAGCAGGCAAGCTGTTCATTACACTCCTACCACAACTACTACTAACGAATCTAAAACAACTAAGTTTCTCTAATATTTTGTGATTTGCATTTGATTTCGTCCAGCCAGATCCTGGCGGACAATCCATGACGGGGACGGGACTTCTACTACTACTGAGGCCTCGTGCTAAAAGGCACCGGCTGCGCCCAGGCAAGATGCGAGGAGGAATGGATGATATACCGTGTATATATGTATATTTATGTTCATTTTGTACATTTCTAAAAATAAAGTTTAATGGAAATACTTAGTAGGCCTATCCTTTCTTCCCTGAATTATTTGCTCCTATAACATATCATTCATATATAGCAAACCATGATTTGATTTCTCATCAAACAGTAGTAGTTTATTACAGGTAAAAATAACTTACTCTTTGTTATGACCAGCTCGTAGGCCACAACGGAAAGGCAAGGAGACATACACGAGTTTACAAAACCACGGCACATTTATTGTGGTAAATGCAGAGATAGGTGGTCGGGGAGAGAATCGCCGGGCCGCTGGGATTAATAGCACCGGCTCCGGAGGTGTCCGTGATCGCGCTGATTACCCTCTTCAGCTCCACCCCACCGTAAGCCCTGCAACACACCTGCACAAAGGCCCCGGGGTCGTCACACTCTTCTATAACAACAGTTGTAGGTTCAGTTCGGTTAGTTAGCGTATAAAATATCAGCTGTACCGACGCCATTATTACACTGATGTTCCCCGAAAAAAGCGGGCGGAGCCTCTCTGGTGGTTGACTAATCAGAACAGAGTGGCCGAGCTGACCAATCGGAGCACACTAGGCTCACAGGGAGGGGGGGGGCAAGAGCTCCAACGAGTCGTTTAGTGGAGAGAGTGAATACTGCTGAATACACATGCTTGACAGAGATGCTGTATGCGAAACCAATGTGAGTTTGGAAAATTGCACAGTATAAATCTATTTTAGTATACCTCAACAATGTAATTATGATCAGTGGAAATGGCCATGACATGGGCCCTTTAACAAAAAATCCCAACTCGTTCGCGGGCACGAGCCGGCTCCCGTCGTTCACTTAAAAGAGCCGGCTCTTCGAGCCGGCTCGTTCGCGACCGACACATCACTAGCGCACAAGCCTGAGAAAACACTTTAATAGACAAACATACTAGATAGATATACAGGATATAAAGTGTGCAAAGTAGCTGCAGTTTGAAATAAAAGCCTGAGTATAACATGTACACATTGTTCAGGGTTATTGAAGAGAGAACAACAGAGGGACATCTGGTTGCGAAAGAAACTATAGTGCTAAATACTTAAACTTTAATATATCCATTCATTACCTTGGATGTCTTCAGTCACAGAGTTGTCCATTCAGTCGCTTCCTTCAGCTGAAGCAGTACTGACAGCCTGGACTTTATTGAGTGGGAAGGAAGTGGATCTGAGGATTTCACAACACTCTCCTAACCCAGCGACAGTTTTCTAACCACATCCTCGGATGCACACATGAGCACTCAGATTATCACGCTGTCACACTGTATGCATTTGCAGAAGTCGCTTCATGGAGCATATTTTTCAAATTAAATGGATGAAAATAGCACTTTTTAAATATAAAAGAAGATCACAGATATGCAGCTGAATAAATGTTAATATTATTCACCATGGGTTTAAGAATAATAAACCAATATGTATAATAATAGCCCCCTAAGTACCCTTTCTTTTTGTTTTGTGTATCTCTTCTCTTGATTTGAATTCAGTTCACTCTCATTACCCTCTAACCACAAAGGAAACGAGTAATGTAGGATACAGTCTAAGGTATCAATATAGCAAACAATATAATAGCAGTTTTATGTTTTCTATAACTTCTCCATGTTGAAATGAATATTAGTTGTTTGTTTAACTGTTACGACTTCCCCTGCAAATACAGTTTTTGCAGCGTATGGCTCTCCTTGTTGGCTCAAGTCCACTGCTCTCAGTGTCAGTGAAGACTTTTAAAAATGCAATCAGGACAATATGACTTCTCACAGAGTGTAAAATAAATACACTTTTCAAGGGAGAAAGAAGCTGTGTGCCAGCTGACCTGTCCTTTATCACAAAAGCAGAAGTAAAGACTGAGCATGATGACATCAGCTCTTTGTGGTTATATTCAAACTGGTTTCAAGGGCTTTGTAGCTGCCGAGGTGGAAGAAGTGTTCAGATGCTTCACTTGAGAAAAAGTACCAATAAATTACTGTCAATATACTTCATCACAAGTTAAAGTCCTGCCTTCAAAATCTTACTCAAGTAAAAGTACAAAAGTATTATCAGCAAAATGTACTTAAAGTATAAAATGTAATCATTGTGCAGAAAAATTGCCTTTATGTGTGTATAATTATATTTATATATGTGACATTTATAGATAATATTGCTGCATGAAGTAGCATGGAGACACACTTTTTGTAAAATATTTAAATAATTGGAGTCTTTATAACTTAAAGAGTTAGTCAACTGTTTTTAGAGATGCATTTTGTTCCAAGAAGCTAAAGCTGTTAAGTGAATGTATTGGAGTAGAAGTATAAAGTAGCATACAATGGAAATACTCAAGTAAAGAACAAGTACGTCACATTTGTGCAGTTACTTTCCACCTCTGAGTGATCAGTCACAGCAGGAGAGTCAGTAAACAGTCTGCACTGATCTGACTGCATGTGGGTCATTCTTATTATCTTATTATTAAAAATACTAGAAATCCTACCAATCTACGTGGGAACCGGGTTGGGGGGGGGCTCGAAAATATTTCCAATTACCCAATGGGGGCCTGACAGAACAAGTTTGGGAAACTCTAAAAGTCATGAGTTTCTCAGAAAAACTGTGTTCATATTTGTGAAGAGAATGATCCAAGAGGCTTTTTAAAGACTTTATTTAAGGTTAACAAGGAGGAGACGTTTCTCAACACAACTTCCTCTTAGCAAGAAACAGCTGCAGCCGGAAGAGACTAACATGGCGTTCAGTGTTGCTGATATGTCCCCTTTAACCAATCATCTTATGACATGCCCCCACCATCTGGAACGCACTTCCTGCAGAGATCCGCAACGCTGCTTCCCTGGACATCTTCAAGTCTTCATTAAAAACTCACCTGTTCACCGTGGCCTTTGACCCCTAACCCATCACCGTCCCCTGCTTCCACTCCTACTGCTATTTATTACATTTTTACTTTATTATTAGCCCCTCTTGTTTGTTTTTTCACCAGTAAAGCGGCCTTGGGTCCCTTGAAAGGCGCTATACAAATGAAATGTATTATTATTATTATTATTATTATTATTATTATTATTATTATTATTATTATTATTATTATTATTATTATTATTATCATTATTGTTATTATTATTATTATTATTATTATTATTATTATTATTATTATTATTATTATTATTATTATTATTATTATTATTATTATTATTATTATTATACCTAAATGGGTGAGTGCTAATTATATTCAATGAGCACTTTGAGGGTCCTCGGACAATGAAAAGGCACTATATAAATGCAGTTAATTTACCATGAGTGCATTACATGCATTCGCTGATGATGGGCACCTCATGGAAATATATATATTCAGATTTTTCATGTTATTCTTTTATTGTGAAAAACCTAAACAACTTCCTGTGCCCTGAACATGGCCTGAGGTCATCAGTGTCAGCAGCCATTGGTTACTGTCACCTTTGACCTATCAAATATTTAAATAATTGGACTCTTGTTACTTAAAGGTGGGGTAGGTAATTTTGGAGAAACCAGCTCGAGATCGCTAGAATTTGAAAATACACAGCCGGAAAAAATCTGCCACTTCCTTACAGAGCCCCTCCTCCAACACACACGAACGCGCACATGACCAATGAGGGCACGAGATAAGTTTGTGCACAGATGGAAGGCTGACAGGCAGGTAGGCCATCCAGTTATTTCAGCCGGGCCGGCTCAGATGATTGGTCGTGCTTTTCACAGTACTACAGCTTCCACAGATGATATTTTTTAATGGATTTTTTGTCAAAGCACTTCAGATATTCATTGCTATCGGGATGTTAAGAGCATTCCATGGAATATAACAAAAAGTGTATCTCGAGCCGGTTTCTCAAACTTACCTACCCCACCTTTAAAGAGTTAGTCGACTAGTTTACATTTTTAGAGATATGTTTTGCTAACGCTGTTAAATAAATGTAGTGGAGTAACATGTCATTATTTCCCTTTTGAATGTAGTGGAAAGTTCATGTATAAAGTAGCATAACATGGAAACTGAAGTACCTGAAATTGTACTTCAGTTACAGCAGAGTCAGTGACCTGGGACTGAATGAGGCTCAATCTTAACTTGATCCTACAGCTTTTTCACACACACCGCGGGTCAATGTTTACCTTCAGATCTGATCATAAGAGCTGCTACAAACACAGCAGGGCGGCGTACGCAAGTCCAATCACAGTCTGTCTTCGTTTAGGCTGTCCTTATGAGACACCCAGAGGAGGAAACTGGTACTGAAAGTTGATGCTGCAGTAATATGTCCCTGAGAGTGTTTTATATGATATCTGTGTTATGTTATATCTGTATATCTACTGTAATTATTCAGCGAACTCATGTGTCTGCGCCAAATGAAGCTCAGCGTAAATTCAATCAGGAAGACCAAGCTCTTCATTCAGATGACACGTCACCTCATTACACTCTCCTTCCTCATTAAATGATCGGGGGCGTCACTCCCCAGCTAACCAATCTCTCCTCTCTCCATTCTCACAAGCCTATCATAGCTCCCGCTAATCCCTTTATATCTGCTCTTCCCTCCGTCAGCTGTCGTTTCAGGTGACAAAACGCAACCCTCCTCCACCCCTTTCGCCTCCCGTCTCCTTCAGGACCAAGCTAAACCTTCTCCCTTCAGTCCGTTCCCACCTACTTATCACCACTACCAGTGTCTAGACCCCGGGGGGTTTCATCGGAGCGGTTCTTCCCCCTCCTGAATGATTATCCTGCAAACTGGGGCCTAATCGCCAAACACCATTTCATTCTCCTGTTATAATTGTGGCAATCATTATTACATTCATATTATGGTCCCGGTAATAAATATGTATTCCATACATCAACGTCTCTCCTGATTGAACTATTATTTGTACCTTTGGCCCACCAGACAACGAGATACAACGGCCTAATGACTGATGGGAAAATCGCATGCAATCGCATGAGAAACAGAATGAGAGGTCTTACAAAGAAACTTGTTATGAATTGAAGAGACTTCACACATCAGGGGTATCATATGGTTACAACACTTGGGAAACATTAAATGTGTTTTGGAAAAACCTTGTAAGTGTTCCTCGTGAAATGAAAGAGATATCAGTCATGCAAGCGTAGAGAACGTTTAAACTTTGAACCAAATGTCCGATTCCTCCCCGACAGCCGACATGTGGAGTCCATTCAAACTCCACCAGAATAAAGTTGACTCACCTGAAGCTCCTCAAACATAAATGAAATGTGATCGTGCTGTAGTTCCTTTATAGTTCTCTCTTTTAGGCTAACAATCATAAAGTGGTGTTAATATGTGGAGATTATCCTGCTGAACAAAACCGGTACGTTTCATAAAGGTTTGAAATAATCATCAACTAGGGTTTTTCTTTAGCTGTTCAGTATTTCCATCAACGGATCACAGCGTTACAGAGAGCTGAATGTGCACCTCCACTAAGGATCATCATATGGAGACTAGAGATTAAAAGTGCATTTCTGTTTCTCCTCTTTCTTTCCATAGAGTCTGCCTGGTTTTAAATGACTCACTCAGAAGAGTCAAAGCCACTCGTATAGAAATAGGGATTCATTTACAAAATGTACCTCTTTATGTGCTGCTTTACTGAGAACAGCTTTAAAGAGACACACTAAGAGACACAGGAGGTGAGGAAGAGGAGAGGCAGGAGGAGGAAGATCATCTTCTCACACACACACACACACACACACACACACACACACACACACACACACACACACACACACACACATACACACACACACACACATACATACACACACACACACACACACACACACACACACACACATACATACACACACACACACACACACACACACACACACACACACACACACACACACACACATACACACACACACACACACACACAATGTAATGTCTTTCCTCTACATTTATTTAACAGCTTTAGCTATTCTTTTAACAAAATGCTTCTCTTAAAATTAAACTAGTGCACTAACTCAGTAAGTCAGAAAAAAGTCAAAGATTTAATTATTTTACAAAAAGTAAATCAGCACTTTGTCTCCAACAGTAAAATGATTCTTGATAGAAATGTCATATATAAATATCATTACACATAAAGGACCTTCTCTCCACAATGATTACTTTTTATAGGTTTCATTTCTGCATCTATCGGGAGAACAATTATGAGTTTA